CCCCCCCCCCCCCCCCCCCCCCCCCACACACACAATATATCACAACCATCAAAAATGAGCGACATCGCCAAGAAAACCCTTCCTGCCGGCGCTCAACAGCAGGGCGCCAAAACAGCCGACACTACCTCCCAGGCCGACCCCTCAGCTCCTCGCTCCACCCACGCCGGCGAAGAAGGTGCCTCCTATGTGGGGGGCTCTGAGTCCTACTCCCATGAGGCCGAGTCCTCCGCTGAGGGTGGGGAGTACACCCACGCAAAGCAGGGCGACGAGCACCTCGAGGGTATTGAAGAGGAGTCGGGAGAGATCCTTATGAAGGATGAGGAGGAGGGAGCCGAGAAACCTTCTAGTGATGAATTCGAGAAAGTAGAAGCGGAAGGTGATGATGCGAGGACGGAGCTGGAGGCTCAGAGCAGGGAGCCGGCGGACTTTGATGTTGGTGATGATGATGAGACGGAGGAGACGGAGTCCAAGGCTCAAACTCAGACTACTGAGGGCCAAGAGGAGGCTGCTTCTGCCATTCCTGCTACCGAAACCGGGGAGGGCAGACCTGAGGAGCGGTCTACTGTTAGCGAGGCCTCCGAAGCCAAAATGTCTGAGACCTCCGGCAAGACTTCATTGCTCACCGAGCAAGCCAAGGAGGCCCTCGACAAGGCCTCGAAGGACCAGCCCACTGAAGAAGCGCGCGAGTCTTTCCTCCAATCTGCCAAGGACGGTCTGACGGCCGGAAGCACCATGACCGGTGTAACCAAGAAAACGGGCCAGACTGAGACTTCTGCAGCGCAGTCGCAGCCGCAGGAACAGGCTTCGCACCCCAGCGACGAAGTCTCTGGTTCTCATCAGTACACCGTTCAAGGAGAAGGGGAGGAGGGTACTGCCACCGGAACCAAAACTGCTCCCAGCGAGTACACCGCTACTGGTCCCGACACTCAAGCGCAGCAGACCGGCACTTCCCAACCCAGCGGCGAAGTCTCCAGGGAGCAACAATACGCCCGCTCCGTTACCTTTGACGAGTCGCAAAACAAGTCTCAGGAGGCGCCGACCGAGTACACGGGCGAGGACTCCGGCTCCGCGATCGGAACCGAACAGACAGCCACGCAAACTGGCACTGGCTACACTGGCACTGGCTATACCCAGTCGCAGTCGCAACCCCAGCCATCCCACCCATCGGACGAAATCTCGGGCACGAACCAGTACACCGGCACGGGAACTACCACTTACGACTTCGGCACCCGCACCGCTACCGCGCCAACCCAAATCGGCGAAACCGACCAAACCGGCGAGGGTGTCCCCACGGGCGAGTCCGTCACCGTCGCCGAACACCTCGACTTCTCGGTGCTCAAGAACGGCAAGGTCAACAAGGGTGGTAATGTCATTGATTCCGATGGTAAGATTGTCGGGCGCGTCGTGTCGGGTATCCTGCAGTACCTCGTCGGCAAGAAGGTCGACGAGAACGGGGACATTTGGTCTGACAATGGAAAGGTGATTGGCAAGGCGGAGCCGATTTCCGACAGCGAGCGGGAAGATATGCTCAAGGAGCCGGCGCCCTTTGAGAGCTTCCCCGACGCGGTCGTGGACGGGAACGGCATGGTGGTCAGCAATGGGGAGTGGATCGGTAAAGTTATCGAGGGTGATTTGAAGGTGCTGAGAGGCAAGAGCGTCGATGCGGATGGCGACATTATGGATAAGGCCGGGAACGTGATTGGCCGTGCGGAACGCTGGGAGCCAGAACCCGAAGAGGAGCCTGAGCCCGAGCCCGAAGTGGACAAGAGCATTTTGGCAGGGAAGAGGGTCAATAAGGCTGGCAATGTGGTTGATGGCTCAGGAGTCATCTATGGTCGCGTGGTGGAGGGTGATGTGAAGAGAATGGTTGGTCGCATGTGCGATAAGAATGGCAACGTTCTCAGTGAGAGCGGTGATATTCTCGGCAAAGCCGACCTTGTGCCCGAGGGTGAGCGCGAGGGTATGAAGGAGGGTCCCTTCTCCGAGCTTGAGGGCTGCACCGTTGCCAAGGATGGAACCATCGTCACTCCTGGCGGTGATATCGTCGGCCGTCTCGTCAATGGCGACCCCAAGGTGCTCTTTGGTCGTCCTGTCGATGACGATGGTGATGTTCTCGACAAGAACGGTAACGTCCTCGGCCATGCTGAGCGCTGGACGCCCGAGGAGGTTTTGAGGAAGAAGAACCCCATGTCTGGCCGCAAGGTGAACCGTGAGGGCAACGTCGTCGATGAAGACGGTAACATCATCGGCAAGTTGACTTCCGGTGACCCTCAATCTTGCTCCGGTAAAGAGATTGATGACGACGGAGACGTTGTCGACAACAAGGGTACTGTCATCGGCCACTGCACACTCCTCGAGGATCTTAGAGAAGAGGAGTCGCCCGAGGAAAAGGAGAAGAGGGAGCAGGCCGAGAAGGACAAGAAGCTGGCACTCCAGATGGCTGTCTGCATTGAGCAGTGTCTCGACAAGATTCGCCCGCTTTGCAAGATGATCACCGAGGTGAGTTTCTCACGTGTATTACTTTGATCACTTACCTATCAGTCACTGACCAACGAGTTTTGAACAACAGAAAATCGACAAGGCCGAACGCACTCCCGAGGATGAGCGGGACGAAGAGGCGCTCGTCAGGGAAGTCAGGCCTTTGATCGAGGAAGGTGGTCGTATCCTCACCGAGGCCAAAGGTATCATCAAAGGTCTCGACCCCGATGGCCGCATCGCAGCCAACGCCAAACATAAGACTGCTTCGCGCGAGGCCACTCCTGAGGAGTACCATTTGGCTGAGGTCCTCAAAGACCTCACTGGTGACATTACCCAGTGCATCGAGAACGCCAAGAGAAAGCTTGAAGACATGCCTCATGCGAAGAAGGAGCTCAACCCTCTCTGGGGTCTTCTCAACGAGCCACTCTTCCAGATCCTGGCTGCCGTTGGCTTGCTTCTGGCCGGTGTTCTTAACCTTGTCGGCAGATTGGTAGGTGTACACATATCTACCCGTCATTTTCTTGCTCTGGCGAATGGTGCTAACAGAGTTGTGCAGCTGAGCGGTCTCGGTCTTGGTGGGCTCGTCGATGGCCTTTTGGGAACACTTGGTCTCAACCGCGTCCTTGAGGGTCTTGGTCTTGGATCCCTCACCAAGAGTTTAACTGGAGCCAGCAAGAAGAAAAACAGTGGTCTCTTGGGCCTTGGTGGCTAAATATGTGCGGGATAATGGGATGTTTTGGTCGTGGAATGTTTGGATATGGTAATGTTAATTGTTATGATAAGTTAATGTGTGTCATGAATCCGGTTTGTGAATGTTAGTCTAGTTTCTTTCCAAGATCTTGGTTAAATGGTTCAGTGTTTACAGTTGAGTGTCCTACTCTAATATTCAGTCATTCTTCCCTCTCTTGTCCTAGAAAAAAGTTGCAAATTCTTGGATGACAGGAGACTTATTAATAGGCATATGAATTCCAAGTTTTGTATCACGACAAGGGCAATGGACCTTTTCCCCTTGAGAAGAGTTGAATCCAGGGCCGAAAAGGACAGGCGTCGAATTACACTTGATCAGGAGAAGTTGACTCACCACCTAAAAATGTTAGTGTCAGCAACCCGAGCGGACGGTTCGCTTCCCCTACCCACTGCATGTCGAGTGGAACAGTCAACAGACAGACCTCAGAGACCGTATCCTGGCTGGCATGAAACGGATGGAGTTAGCAGATCTCGACTATGTATCACCGCCGATGCCCCGTGGTGTTGTCTCTCTTATCGCCGGCCACGTCAACTGTCAAGACGGGAGTGACGACGCCGTCAAGGCTACGAGTACGTACATATCATGATGTTTCTTGAACCCTGGCGTGTCGATGTTGGTCTGGAAGAACGGCCAAGAGCGGAAAACGGCCTTCGGTGCATGCTCGGCAGTTGTTGTTGACATGGACAAGGATGAGAGGCTCTCACCAAGGAAACATTTCTGGAGCCGTGGATCGGTGGACTCTGTGGGTTCAGCGTGGACTGGGTGGGGCCTGAGAAAAGGGTGGACGGCGGCGCAAGTGGATTTGCGGGGAGTGGTGTGAGCGATATCGGAGGTAGTAATTTGACTGTCGCAGCTCAATGTTGGAGACGTGATTGGTCAATTCGGCCACAGCTCGCAGTCTCAAAGAAGAACCTTGACGGTTGGTAATGGGGTGATGGTCGGTAGCGACGTCGGAGCATTTAGACATAACCTTCGTTGCTAGGTTGGTTTTTGTTGTTATTGACTTTGTGGTACTGAGAATGAAGCTATTCAGGAACAATGAAAGGGCATTATGAGAGCAAACTTGGAAGGCGGAAAGTCACCCCCCACATATTCGTTGTTCTGAGGATTCGCGGCTGCCATGTGTGACACTAGCGATGCAGGGAAACGGGACCAGTACTTAGCGTTGGCCCAATACGTGGACGGTGAAGCTGGTGGCTACCAAGCAAAACATTCCATGGAATGTAGTCGCACGACCACATCATTGTCGGGCTAGATATTCGCCATTTTCGAGTTATGAAACTATCTGTTTATCATCTTGGGAGACATTTACGATGAAGTAGTGCTAGCCATGATCTCGGAAAGCATGATTGCTGTGACGCTGTTTGCTGTTCTCCACCGAAACATGGTGGTGGAGGTGGCCTTTTCTCCGAATTTTTGATGAATTCCCGAACAAACATCGGTCCGCAGTCACGTTCCCTCGCTCCCCCGCCGTTGCAGAGTGCCGTACCTGTGATTGTCCTGGTGCCGTCCGTGATTGGTCTTGACGGTGGCTTGCCCTGCATGTTTGTGCCTGACGTGTAGTCGTACTGACGGGATATTGGATGACTCCAACTTGGACACCCACACACTCTTCCGTCGGCTGTCCGCTGTGTCGCGTGTGTTCCAACAAGGAACTAACTGACCGTGTTCAATGTCAAATGTTGCCGTCTTCTTTTTCGGTACGGGTTCGGGGATGCTAGGAATATAGGCAAGACGTAAAAGACGAAGCTAAACAAGGGTGGCGGGTCTTGTGAGGCTCGGACAGAAGGAGCCGGCCGGCTGTTTCGTGGACCACCACAAGACGAGATCAAAGCGTCTACAAGATGGCACAAGACACTTGAAAGTCAACACTTCTAACTTCCTATTCACAACCGCCACATCGAATTCCCATCGCCTTCTGGTGGAAAGATGAGAAATGTCCAAAAGTTCAAAGGAATCGGCAGAACCCAGAGCCAATCACAGGCTCGTGCACCGCAGTGGCTGCTTCCGAAATCGCCACTACACTTTGCCAGCAATAAGCCGCCAGGGACCTGTCATTGGCTGAGATCACCCAAACCTGGCCTCTCGAGTTCCACCAGCCTGACTGTCGCGATCAGAGTACCCCACACTTATGACTATCGTGCCGGCCAGAGTCAAATTTTTGAGCCCGGGCGGCGGTTCGACTCACATTGCTCCCGGTTCCCGGACGGTCTCGGTCTGGTAGTCGCTACACTGACCACACTGCATTGACGGATTCATCAATTGTCATCTACACAGACGGACACTCTGCTTTCTTCGTAAGTCTGTCTTCTTGCTCCCTTTTCTTCCCTTCCCCATTCCTCGCCAAACCCACATCCATCATAAAACCCTTTGATGTTTTCCTAGTATTACAGGAATAACCTACAATCCTCCCTAATATCTATTTCCTGCTGCGTCCTCAGCCGACGATATTCCTCTAACAAAGCCACTGTTGTATAGCTTGTGGTCCCCCCCGCCGCCGCCCGCGTGTAACAGCAATTCGTTATCCTCCCAACCGCTCCCAATACACCATATATATCCTCCAAGGCCGCGATGCTCCGATCACGTCAGGCCGCTCGCGCCTTGAAGGCGTTGACTGAGGCGCAACAGATCTCCCAGCGTACCACCCTCTCTGCCTCCCAGAGGGCCGCTGTTCTTCTCACAAACCGCTCCGTGCAAACGAGGAATCAATCCACTGCCGCCGCGTATGTGTTTCTCTAAAACATCCCTTGGCCCGGTTGCCGACCCCCTTATACCAGTGACTCATGACCATCTAGAAATAAATAATGACAAGGCTAACATACACAACCATCACAGCGCGACGAGACCTACCCCTAGCCAACATTTCCAGCCTGAGCCTACACCTAGCAATGTTCAGCCTCTGGTCGGTCGCAAGCCGGAAATGGACGAGTCGTATGTTTTATGCCCCGTCACAGCGAGTATGGATGCGATTTGGCCAGGCTAACAAGACATCCGTTATGCAGCTTCATCGGCAAGACCGGTGGTGAGATCTTCCATGAGATGATGCTCAGACACGGCGTTAAGCACATTTTCGGCTATCCTGGCGGTGCCATTCTCCCCGTCTTCGATGCCATCTACAACTCTCCCCATTTCGATTTCGTCCTCCCCCGCCACGAACAAGGTGCTGGTCACATGGCTGAGGGTTATGCCCGTGCTTCTGGCAAGCCCGGTGTCGTCCTCGTCACCTCCGGTCCCGGTGCCACCAACGTCGTTACCCCCATGGCCGATGCCCTTGCCGACGGTACTCCCATGGTTGTCTTCTCCGGCCAGGTCCCCACCACCGCCATTGGCAGCGATGCTTTCCAGGAGGCCGACGTCATTGGTATTTCTAGAGCCTGCACCAAGTGGAACGTCATGGTGAAGAGTGTCGCCGAGCTTCCCCGCCGCATTAACGAGGCCTTCGAGATCGCTACTAGCGGCAGACCTGGTCCCGTCCTCGTCGATCTCCCCAAGGACATCACCGCTGGTATCCTTCGCCGGGCCATCCCCACCGACACCGCCATCCCCACCAGTCCTAGTGCCGCCTCCCGCGCTGCCATTGAGCTGAGCCGCAAGCAGCTCGATGCCTCGATCCAGCGTGTTGCCAAGCTCATCAACATCGCCAAGAAGCCCGTCATCTACGCCGGCCACGGTGTTGTCCAGTCCAAGGGCGGTCCTGCGCTCCTCCGCGCTCTCTCTGAGAAGGCCTCTATCCCCGTCACCACCACCCTCCACGGTCTTGGTGCTTTCGATGAGCTCGATGAAAAGTCTCTTCACATGCTCGGTATGCACGGTGCCGCCTACGCCAACATGGCCGTCCAGGAGGCCGATTTGATCATCTGCCTTGGTGGCCGTTTCGACGACCGTGTCACTCTTAACCTCAACAAGTTTGCTCCCGCTGCTAAGGCTGCCGCTGCCGAGGGTCGCGGTGGCATCGTCCACTTCGAGATTCTTCCCAAGAACATCAACAAGGTCGTCCAGGCTACCGAGGCTGTCGAGGGTGATGTTGCCACCAACATTGAGCTCCTCATCCCTCAGGTTGACGCCAAGACCATGGCCGACCGCAAGGAGTGGTTCGGCAAGATCAACGAGTGGAAGTCCAAGTGGCCCCTTTCCGACTACGAGCGCGCCGAGCGCACCGGTCTGATCAAGCCCCAGACCCTCATCGAGGAGCTCAGCAAGCTCACCGAGGGCCGCAAGGAGAACACCTACATCGCCACCGGTGTCGGCCAGCATCAGATGTGGACCGCTCAGCACTTCCGCTGGCGCCACCCCCGTACCATGATCACCTCCGGTGGTCTCGGTACCATGGGCTTCGGTCTCCCCGCCGCCATCGGCGCCAAGGTTGCCAAGCCCGATGCTCTTGTCATTGACATCGACGGCGATGCCTCCTTCGGCATGACCCTCACCGAGCTCTCCACCGCTGCTCAGTTCAACATTGGCGTCAAGGTCATCGTCCTCAACAACGAGGAGCAGGGCATGGTTACGCAGTGGCAGAACCTCTTCTACGACGACCGCTACTCGCACACCCACCAGAAGAACCCCGACTTCGTCAAGCTTGCTGATGCCATGGGCGTCCAGTCTAAGCGCATCATCAAGCCCGAGGAGGTCGTCGAGGGTCTCAAGTGGCTCATCGACTCGGAGGGCCCCGCCCTTCTCGAGGTCGTCACCGACAAGAAGGTTCCCGTCCTCCCTATGGTCCCTGCCGGCTGCGGTCTGGATGAGTTCATCACCTTCGACCAGGAGCGTGACAGGAAGCGTCGTGAGCTGATGGTCAAGCGTACCGGTGGTGTCCACGGTCTTTAAACGTTTTATCGTTTACGGCGCTTTGGATCGATTTCAGATGGGGATGAAGATGGATGGATACCTTGTGGTGTTGGTCAAAAATGGGGATTTTCCTTTCGGCGTTTTACAAGCTGTATGTCTTTTTTTTTTACAACTGCATTACCGGGACAAGAAAAAGGGTCTGTGTTGTTGGTGATCCGGCAATGTTCGGCGAGGGATCTATTTCCATCATCTGGTTGGGGTGAAGTGAAAACGCACATTTTACTTTCTGTTTTCAAGGGCTGCACGCGCGCATTCTTACCTCCGGGATGGGGGACAGAAGAGGGGGCAAAAGGTGGCTTTCGATCACACAAGGAGGTTGTGTGTAGTGCAACAAGCATAAATCTGTTTCATGAAGTTGCGACTGCTTTGCGGGCCTGTATATATCATTATTTCCTTGAATGACTGGATACCACGATTTTTCTTTGCGCAATCACAGTTCCATCGCATCCAAACATCACCTTAAACCAAACCGCAAACACTCATAAACCATGAAATCATATATACTCACCTTGTCGGTATCTGAGCTTTTTGTGAGTTTGTATGCCTATAGATGTTACCTCCCGTTCATGTTAGGTATCACGATGCCGTCGTTGCCGAGGAAACGCACCACAACAATGGTCTAGCAAGCAATAGGGGTAAACCCGAGTTCATTAACCCCAAGTGTGTACAACCATTTTTCCATCTCTGAACTAACCTAAATTACCTGCCGGCCCACACCATTTCTTTGCTCAGGGTAGGAGTAATAAAGGTACTTGTGTGCGCGAAACCACAAACAGAAAACAAATAATAAGTAAAAAAAACCATCCATCAACCTATCCAACGCTCTCATCCCGCGAAGAACAACTTCGCTCTTTCCCCCCGGATCATATGTTACACATGACCGTCAAATTACAGTGTTATACCTATTTCCCCTTTCCAATGTCTCCCCCCTTCATCCATCCCACATAAGAATTTCGAACCCTGTTGATGGATGCAAAGAGCAAAAACGAAACCAAAACACAACACAACAACGATGTGAGGAAGCAATTATCGCCCGGGTTATGTTTGCCGTGCAAGAAGCTTCAGAGGAAGGTTACTTCGTGTGCGAAGCCTGGATAGCGGTCTGGATACAACATACAGATTAGCAATTAGCCTCTTGGTTGGTGGATATAAGAGGAGGACAGAAGTGACTTGAAGGCCAAGATAAATATTGATATGGCCGCAGACTCGGGTTACTAATGGGCTCCGTCCAATCGACAAATCTGACCGTGACAGCGATGGGACAATGGTGAACAAACCAGACTACCATCATCATCCTCATCTAAACCCACGCCGCAACAACGGACTTAACTTAGACAACCGTCCACTCTTCTTCCTCATCCGTTGTCCCAGGCGCAGCTGCCTTGGGCTTCTTGGTGGAGGAAGAAGAAGGAAGGTACTGTTTCAAAAAGACACCAAAGGGGGGTTAGACAACCAAACGAAACGGAACAAACAAAACGCAAGGACGAATGGAATGGATGCTTGAGAGAGAGAGAGAAAGAATTTAACGTACCGGGCAGTTCTCACAAGCACAGTCTCCCGGCGTACAAGTGCAGCTACCAGTGTGGCCGCAATCGCAGGTCTGTGCCGGCTTGGTGGCTACTGGCTTGTCGCGGGTATCCGAAGCAGCAGCGCCAGTGGAAGGGCCCGTGCTGGTGCCTGAGCCGGAGCTCATTTCGGCCTTGGTGCCAGTAGACGGTTTATCGGACATTGTGACTTAAAGCTGGTGGAGTGGTGTTTGGGTGCACCCAAGTGGAAGTGGAAGGTTGCTTAGGTAGTTTTTGTAGTTTTTTGTTTCGCTGTGTGTTTGGCTGAGTTTGGGTTGTTGCGCTGTGGGTCGAATATGGTGTGTTCGGTGCTGGTCGGTGACGGGGTGGAGAGAAGATCCGGTAGAGGTGATGGGGTGATGAGAGGATGGGGAGTTATATAGCTAATAGTGGGAGGGCTGGGTTACGGCTGATGGACTTCAGATGGGAAACGATGAGTGGAAGGGAGAGATGCAATGGAGGAAGATTGGGGTAGTGGCGAGGTGACGTAAGTGCGGTTTAGAGAAGTTGAAAGTGGTGATGGTGGAAGGGATCATGGGTTGGATACGGGCAAGAACGGGTAAAGCGGGCGAGAGCGGTCGTGAACTGGGTAACATGGACGGACCACGGTGGACATGAGCTACTAGGTACCTAACCAACCCCTCTGGGAGTTGAACACACCTAAAGCTTAGAGAAGCTCTCGAGAATCTGGGAAAGTCAGAAGTCGAGGAATCCGAGTTATCTGACTCTGCGCATCGTGGTTCGTCAATCGAAACGGCAGTGACGATAAGCCTTTCTCTTCACAGTTTTCGGAATAAGAGCTCACGGGCCCAAGGACATCACAAGGTCTCTGCGAGCAACCACGAGCTAAGTGGAAGATTGTCCGAGCGCAGAGCAATCGTCATACCTTCCGTGCGTCCGCTGGAGTGAGGAGAAAGTTCAGCCTCGAGGTATAGGCCATTGGGTGAGGCACATGATAGACGGCTTTTGAGAAGGCTGGCCGGCATTGGGAGGCTGATTTGATGATACAATGTAGTCCTACAATAACCAAGTCAAGATATCAGAGAGCTAGTACAGCGACAGAAGAGTAACCAACAACTACCTTTGACAAAAAGCAATGGGCTTGTCTCCATATCCCAACGAGAAGGACGATCCGAAAAGTTCCAAACCCAGCGAGAGCTGCCAAGTGAAACCACTCAAGCCAGTATGGAAAGAGAGAAAGAACTCAGAGATGAAGGAGAAGAAAGTAAAAAGGGGGTATCCAGACATGCAAACCTATATTATCAACACCTTCCATCCTTACAGTGATCACTCCTTCCTCTTCCCTATCATCATAAACCCTATACAGGGCAGTTCCTTTAGTCCCTTCGGTCCCTACGGCACCTACTGCGCCTGTGGTACCGTCTCCGTTAAAGCCTTGTTGACTCTTGAATAAAACTTTGCCGCATGCTGCTTGGGGAAAGTGATCTCCTCAACCAAATAATCTGGCAGCAGATCAATAAGCGCGCGGTCCCTGCTCGCATCGAGCTGCGGCATGTAGTGGAACTGGTCTTCGTCAAAGTACTGGGTCGTCTCATCCGCGTCGACGTGGGGGGAGTTGGCGCTGATGTGCGCAAGTTTGAAATGGAGTGCTGATTACAGGTATTGTTAGTAAACCTGTATCGTGAACAAGCAGAAGGTGGGAGAACGGGGTATACGACGACTTACTTCCATTCTTCCCCGTCTGTATACAATCATACACATCCTCACCCGTCTGCTGGTCCCTCTTGACCCCTCTGACGATTAACCCGGTCAGATCCGAGTAGAGATCCTCTTTCAATTGGTGCTGCTGAGTCGCTTGGGCAATGGCTTCCGAGTTGCCCATGGTGAGCATGCGGTTGCCGTTCTGCTTGTTCTTCATGGCGCTTCCAGGCACTTGAGGTTGGCTAATCTTGGCGATCGCTGCGGCTTCAGCTTGACGGGAGGCTGTGAGCTTGATGTTGAGGGCATTGATTTCCGTCTTGGATTTTGTGAGGGAGCTCGTGAGTTCGGCGAATTTGGCATTGAGGCTTGACAGTTGGGATTCGGATGCTTCGAGCTGCTTGTGGAGACGAGTGGCCTCTCTGGCGGCTTCCTTTTGGGAGGTGAGCTCGGCTTTGAGGGCGGCAATCAGCTGGTCGGAGGCTATGGGGGAGTTTGTTAGCAGTTATCACCCAATAGTTTCCGAATACAAGACATGACATACCAGCCGTCCTCTCCTCGGATTGCTTCCTCAACCTATCGAAGTTCCTCTCCGCCTCCTTAACCGCAACCTCTCTCAGATCTCTGTATTTCAGCTCCAACGCCTCGTACTTCTGCGTCAGCTCGCCCAACTTGCGCCGTAGCTCCGGGTCGTCAGTCCTTGCCCCAGCCGTATGTGTCTTAAACCCCAGCCCCAACAAAGACGACTTCCTGGTTGTGCTCGCTGGAGGTCCGCTATGCCACGCCCCCGGGATCGGCACCGATTCCTCCTCCTCAATTTGAGTCTCCTCATGTGTCACCTCCGTTACCTCTTCCTGCTGTGACGTCTCATCCTCTTCCACTGCCACCAACTCCTCCACCTTTTTCTTCCTCCCCCTTCCGCCCCTTGTCGCGGTCGCCGTCACCGACATCGACGTCTCCGTCACAGCCGCGGCAGCAGTTTTCCTCGGCCTCCCCCTTGTCGCCCTTGTCGTTGTTTCCTTCGGCGGCGCCTCCACTTCCTCGGTAGCAGTAACATCATGCATAGTCGTATCCTCGTCCCCTTGCTCCTCCGCAATTGTCCCAGTGTGCTCGGTAGATTCCATCTCTTCCTCTTGTATAGTAGTGGCGGAGGCGCGCTTCCCCCTTCCACTGGTGCGAGTTGCTCTTCCGGCGGTAGAGGGAGTCGCGGTAACGTTGCCGGAACTCTCTGCTAGCGCGGCACGAGCAAGGGCGGCCTTTTGTCGGACTGTAAGGGCTTTGGTCTTTTGCGCGGACGCCTTGGTGACTTTGTTTGCGGAAGCGGTCGCCGCGGCGGTTCGCTTGCTCGCTACGGAGGGAGTGGAAGCGGTCTTTCGTTTGGCGGGAGCCATTGTGCTTGCGCCTGTGCCGGAGGCGGCTTTTTGTCTTGTTGCTGTGGCTGCTGTTGATGTTTGGGCTGTCGCTTGTTTCGCCTTTGACGCAGCGGTGGGTTTAGTTGCTGACCCCGTCTTGACTCCTGTCGTGCTCGGCTGCTTGAGGATCGACTTTGGCTTTGTTATTGTCGATGTCAATTTTATTTTCGTTGCAGCTTTGCTGCTGCCGAAGCGAGTAGATGCAGGCCCGCTAAGTCCGTCCTCCGAATCCGAATCTACCAGTCCCAGCAAACGAGTGCCGCGTTGCGCCCTTGACATCAGACTCGGAGGTAATGCAAAAGGTGCAGGAAGGGATACTATCTGAATGTGGGTTTCCGGTCGACGTTGTCGTGGGCGGTCGTCGATCGCGCTGGCGATGATTGGCGCGCAATGGGGTCGAATGGAATGCGATTAGCGACGCGCAGGTCGGTAGCTGCTGCTTCAACTGGGGCGAAAGATTGGCGGCAATTCTGTGCGTTGGAAGGACGCGTGTATCCACTTACTCCACGACAGGCGTCAGCGCGGGTGTGAAAGGATGACGAATCTCAAGTGATTGAAGGTTGCTGCGCTGCGAAAGTAAACAATTTATTGTCCGGAAGGAAGTGGAGGGGCTGTCGCAAGACAGAATCGCGGCTTGTCTCCTTCTCTTCAGGGTTAGGGTTAAAGCCGGTTACACCCTCCACTACCCCAGCTCCGGGTCCCTTTCCTAACTCCCACTGGATATGCATGGTAAAAGGGAATGGCAAGATCCTTCTCATAAAGTTCCTGTTTCTTAGTGGAATCTGCAGATGGTAATCTAAAATAGCGCCCCCCCCCCCCCCCCCAAAAATCGTCAGACGTACCGCCGCAACTCCCATGGTCTTTATTCTGCCCATATGCCCTTCGAACGCCAGATATGTACAAGCCCGCTATATGTGATTAAGTTTTCATGAAACTGTTTCCCCGCCGTTTACCATTACGATCGATATTGGATAACACGTCCTGTTACTGCTCTTCGTTAATAGAACGAAGTGAACTCTGTCCTCAGGGACAAGAAAGCCAACGAACCAGCAAGCAGGCCGCCTAGTCCTCAGCTGTCCTCTTTGCCTCTTTCAGTCTCTGATGGTGTTGCCTCCTGATGGTCCACAATGAGACGCAAAGCCCGATAGCGCAAGCACCAAGCGTCATGTAATATGCGTCTTTATAGCAATCGATACCATCAGGACAAGTGCGCTCGCCCTCGTCATTGACAATGCTGTGCTTGTCAAAGACTTTGCCGTAAAACAGGTTAAAGACGTTGCCTGATACGACAGGGCTCAAAGTCATGAAGCCCCAGTTCTGACTGAGTCCATGGATACCGAACGATTCGGCCACGATAGATGGAAAAACGCCGAAGAGGAAGCCGTAGCCAAGACCAGAAAGACCGGAGACGAAACCGAGCAGATGTGGGTTGAGGATGTTGAGAGCGCACAGCTGAGCGATGAAGAAGATCACGCTTCCTAATGCAAGGCACCAGACACGGCTGGCCTTCAACACCTTGACGAGGAAATCTGATCCGACACCTTGAAAGTAGAATTAGTACTAATCTTCAACATGGAAATGAGCCACTTCTTACCGCTGAGCAGTCGGCCAATAAAACTACCGACAGACAGAATAGAAACATGCATCTGTTGCCGATGAACGAGGAATGTGTCATCAACTGTCTTGTCATAGTATTTCCATAGAGCGTTGACATCATGGCCGATGTTGCTGTTAGATGTTAGCGGACAGGGCTCAAAGTATAGGTAGAAAGTCACAGCAAGGACTCAACACGTACTTGATGGTCATCAAACCAATTCCAGCCAAGATGGCCATAATGCAAAACAGTTGCCAAAACTCTAGACTCTTCAGCAAGGCCCAGCCACGGATATCTATACGGTGCGAACGATCCATATCAACACTGCTCTCAACATAAACATCGCCAGGTAGTGAGGACGATCTGGACACGAGGGACGATGTCTCGTCGATGTCTTCCTGTGCCGTTCCCGCAGAGGCCGCTTCGACGTCATTGGATCGGCGAGGAGGGCTGACGTCTCGAGAAGATGAGGGCCCCACGAGCTCGTCTATGGCTCCGCTGAGGGCCGGTGCTGTAGTGCCACCGGGAGTGGTGTAAACAGTGGGCGACATACCAGGTTCTCCGTCGACGAAACTGCGACCAGCCTGGGGCTTGGACTCCTCAGATAGTGTCCGGCGCAGTTGTTGAGAGCTCGAGAGCCCTGGCCCGGAATGGACCGGGTGATACGAAGAACGCGGGTAAACCTTGAGGAAGAAAAACCCGAGGAACGTAAGGGTGAAAGTGCCAACGGAAAGGAACATGAGGAAGGCGCCAGTGTTGCCGGGGAAGAAGACACTCCCAGAGGCGGAGAAGAAGAATGCACTAAGGCCAAAGGCGGCCAGCGGAAAGGCCGTGGCTGTTCCGCGGTGATGAGGCCAATTCAACGCCGACGTTTTGACTGAGGCAGCAAAGGCCATGCAGCTTCCAAATCCAGTCAAGAAGCTGAAGATGCAAAGCAGGGGAACGGAGCCAGTGCCGCTTTCATAGGCGGCTTTGAAGGGGAAGTATCCCAAGCCCAGCAACAAGGCGCCGACAATGACTGGAGGGCGGGTTCCTCGGCGGTCCACATACATTCCAACTGGCACGCCCATCGAGTACATGCCCAGATTCCCGGCCAGTCCGATCAGGTTGCTCTGCGTCGTCGTGAGGTGCAGCTTATCGGCAAACTGAGGAGCCCATGCTGAGTAGACATACTATCCAGAGTGCGCAGACGGCGCAAGGAGTTAGCAGTAGTCCCATTGTGGTAGCTTTGTGTTGCACGACAGGTCAGGGAAATCGCCCACATTTGTTCCACATGCTAGTGATATGACCGTTGCTGCTATGCTCGACACCAGGCGGGCGTGCTTAAGCTGCTGGTCGAGCATGGTCTTAGTTGTAGTTGTCATGGTTGGGATAACCTAAAGTTGAAGAGACTCCGGAGTCCCGAACGGTCAAGTTATCACGATCAAACGGTCTGAAGCATCCCCGCGACGCCGTTGCAATGGAGGGCCCCTGCCGATCGCAAAAGGTGTCGGAATCCGGAGTTGGAACAGGCTAAAACTAGTACAAAGATAGAAGAAGCGGCAGCAAGCCTGGCATGGCAATTCAGAAACAGGATGAAGGGAATACGATCAAGTCGAAGTTGGGAGGAGGGAGGGAGCATGTGTGTTGTCGTCACTGGGGTGTAGGTACTTCCGACAGATGCCTTATCTGACACTACCTTATCAGCCCGCATTATGCTCGTCGTAAGGGGTGTTAATTGTTAGCGGTTGTCCAGTGACGCAGGCCCGCTGATTGCGAGTTCCTGGGGTCATTGTCCCAAATGCCATCTTGTGATTGGCCCCGCGCCAGCGGGCCGCTGACAGGCGGTTCCGATACAGGACCTGAGCAGCCAGCCGCCTATCCAAGTATGATACATATGAAACATGATCCGTCGTCCATCTTCCCGTCGCAGTCTCTCCTGAATCTCTCTCCCATCGGCGGGGCAGAGCTGAGGTGAAGAGAACAGCCCATGTACTGGTGCCTGATACAACGGTGTGAGATGAGAGTTGAGTACCAGAATCGTGGTACAAGACTGTCATTAGGTAACCCACGTAGCTGTTAGAGAGCAGTGTCCACTCCCCGTAGGTCTAGAATTGGGTAACGAGTTGGATACGTACATAATGAGAATGGGGGCATGGATGGACCTGGACAGCTGAATGTTCCCCAGATTCGAAACGGGTCCTGGAGTCACGATGCCGGCGGGTCCCCGCTTGCCCCGGGCTCGGGAGACGGGGATGCCGGTTTGCCCGGAATCCATGTCCGTGGATCCGGATCCAAAAGTTATCGACTTCGGAGGAAAGCTGAGGGTTATGGCTGAGCACTAGCTCACGTGGTATCGTTGCTGTGTATTCAATACTTGTAATCCAATTGTACCCGGCCAGGGGTCTATGATGGCTTTCGGTGCATTTTGATGTCGGCATCTAATGACTGGATTATGAAGAATCATGAGAGGTGATCTGTGTCAATTTGGAACGGACAAGCGAGATTTTGAGAAGACACTGAAGAGTCGGTAATCTAAACAGCGAGGCTTTCACTTTCATCGATCTGACTGAGGAAGTTGCCTGGTTGAGATTGGATAGATCGAGACGGGCATTGACTGATCATGCTCGCTGAACGTAGGTACTATTCATGGTGGCGCAGTGTGGCTTGAATGCCAGTAGTCTGAGAAATGATTGGCCCCTAGAGGTGGGCTTCTGCCAGCCCAGCCGCGTGTGTCATTTGCTACCCGCCCGCTGAACCAACTGCCCTGACGTCCGTCACTGGTCGCAAGTCGACAACTTACGCTGCTGGATCTTGGATGATTCTAGACTTCGTTACCTGCCTACCTATCACCAAACCTCTCTTTCTCAACTATCGAGCCGAGTCGATTTGCGCCGGCCTGTTTCAACGGCGAGCATATCTTCTATTCGCTTCTTCCATCATCAATCGACCAAAATCAAACTGAAAACCGCAACCTAATCAACCGTCGCCATGGGCGCGCTTCTTTCGCTGCCGCTGCTCGCGGTGCCGAGTCTAGGCACTGTAGGTTGCCTCTACACCACGAGCTCACGAACTCGACGTTATGACCCATGATACTGACCATCTCCTCCCGTCACACAGATTCTCGGATTTGTTGGTAGTTGCTGCGGTGCTGCGGCATGCTCCGCTCTCTGTAGCGCATGCGGAAAATGCGGCAACAGGTTGGTGATGATTGTCTCTACGGCATCCTGTTTGCTGAACTGACATTGGTTGTTACAGTGTCCTTACCCGTATCGCATATGCCCTCATCCTTCTCATCAACTCGATCCTTTCGTGGATAATGCTCACCAAATGGGCAATCGAAAAACTGCAACACCTCACCTTCAACTACGTCAAGATCAGCTGTGGAAATGGAGACTGCTATGGTTGGCTCGCTGTCCACCGCATCAACTTTGCTCTCGGCTTATTTCACCTGATGCTGGCTGGCCTTCTCCTCGGAGTTAACTCCTCTAAGCACCCTCGCGCGAAAATTCAGAACGGCTTTTGGGGACCCAAGATCATCGCTTGGCTCGGCTTGATTGTCCTTACCTTCTTCATCCCGGATGAGTTCTTTGTGTTCTGGGGCAACTATGTCTCGTTTATTTGTGCGATGCTCTTCCTCATTCTCGGCCTTATTCTACTGGTCGACCTGGCGCACAACTGGGCCGAGTACTGCCTGGCGCAGATTGAGGATACCGACTCGCGTACTTGGAGGGCCATCTTGATTGGCTCGACGCTTGGCATGTACCTCGCGTCCCTTGCCATGACCATCATTCAGTACATATTCTTCGCTGGGAATGGCTGCTCCATGAATCAAGCAGCAATTACCATCAATCTGCTGCTCTGGATCGCCGTTTCGGCCATATCTGTGCATCCGACAGTGCAGGAGTACAACCCCAAGGCGGGGCTTGCGCAAGCCGCCATGGTGGCCATCTACTGCACCTACCTGACCATGTCTGCGGTCTCGATGGAGCCTGATGAGACCGAAGACCGGCGGTGCAACCCTCTGGTGCTGGGCCAGGGCACGCGGACCACCACCATTATTCTCGGCGCCATCGCAACCATGCTCACGGTGGCCTATACCACCACGCGGGCAGCAACCCAGAGCCTTGGTCTCGGTGGAAGCGGAAGGGGACAGATCCAGCTGCCCGATGAGGATGAGCATGACCTCGTGACGCAACAACCAAGCCTTCGGCGGGAGATGCGGGCTGAGGCGCTCCGCAGGGCCGTTGAGGAAGGAAGTCTTCCTGCAGATGCCCTCTTATCAGATGACGACGAGAGCGATGCGGGTGACCGTACGGCCAACGATGATGAGAGATCGAGCACTCAGTACAGTTATGCCATGTTCCACATCGTCTTCTTCCTGGCCACTGCCTGGGTTGCTACGTTGTTGACCATGGACTGGGATGACAAGAAGCAGGGCGACTTTGCCACGGTTGGTCGTACGCTGTGGGCGAGCTGGGTCAAGATTGTGAGCTCGTGGGTCTGCTACGGCTTGTATACCTGGACCCTGGTTGCACCAATTTTACTGCCAGACCGCTTCGATGGCTACTAAACGGTTTTGATTACTTTGGCGCCTCGGGTACCCGCTTGAGGTTGAGGGAGTACACTACCTGTTCTTCCTCACTTATCACATTTTTGTATTGGAGTTCTAGGGGCTAATGCATTTCGGGTGTATGGGGTTACGGTGGCAACTGGCTTTGATAGTTTTAGTGAAGCATCGCTTTCATGTCTCTGGTAGGCCATTTGCTGAATGATATTTGGATACATTTTATGTTACAGGCGTATCTATGTCAGACAGTTTGGGCATCAGATATGCCATTTGGTGAGATGCTTATCCATTTATCATTGAAGTAGAAACGGGATAAGGTGGGTTCAGTGACATGGAAGGAAGCACCGAAGAGCGAAAGTGGCCGCCATGTTCGGGCAAGACCGATGATGATACCTTCGTATTTGGCGCGCAAGTTCCTCATACGGAATTACTAGCAAGAAACCCTAAGGCTGGTACGTTCTTTCCTTCACAACCCGCACAGACCCCCAGCTCCTCTGTCAGAATCGAGTGAAAATATCTAACAAGCATCATGTCTTGCCCAATGGCATCTCCCCATCCAACTAGAGCTCATCCGAGTTGCATCATCCGAACCTTTGTTCCAGGAAAAGAGATATTCGACTTCTGTTGTCTTTCGAAGCCCAACCATTTAGTGTTTTCCACCCAATTATCTGGCTAAATCTCCTTGCGGCCGGAAGCCCTTGTCTTTCTTACTGGCATTAATCCTTCACTTTCTTCTCCCGCACTCTCGTCGTTCTCCCTTCACCGGTTGTCGCAACAAGGTGTCAGGTGTACATCGGCAAAGCTTCCTCGCGGCAACGCAACGTTGTGGACATTCCGGCCTCTTCCCGGTAACACCAGAATCAATATCTCGCTCGGTGTGCAAATCGAGACATCCATAGAGAAGAACAACGGACAACCGATGGTACGTATCTTGAAACTACCTGTGTTTGGGTGATGTCGACAATTCCGACTTCCGCGTTACTAACACTGCATGTCAACGCTAGTATCGTACCACGCAATACCTTTTCCACGAATCGCCGGGATGACGTCAAAATATAGGGCTCCTTGTGGGACTTCCTACGGCCGCTTGATCGGAGAAATTCAGTAACCAGGGTCTGGTTTGCCTTATTCAGATACCCCGAGCCTTGCCTCGACAGGAAAATCAGACGGAACATCATCCAGAGACTACCCTGGGCTAGATGCTGCCATCCATGGAAAGGATCCCCTATTTCATGGACAGAGTCATCTGTATGAGGTCTGTCAGAACCTATCCGATGATCAAGGTACTTCACGCCCCCTTCACCATGGGTGGTTTATCCGAGACCTGTTTGCCTGTTGTTTCTAACACTGAGTTTCCTCGGCCCGCTTTCTCGCCCTCGCCGTCCCCCGGCTGTCTTTTCGCTCGTTGGATTCGCAGAGCCGCACCAAATTCCCAGACTTATATGGGGGAAGTCCACAAGATCAGTCTATGAGGCAGTCAACCGTTGCATACTACCACGACAGACTGATAGACAGGGGCATATATGACAAGAAGCCATAATTACCCTGATTACAAACCATGCCGACCAATCGTTGTTTCCCTCCCCTGGAACAGAGGGTTCGTGCTATGACAAGGAAACTCAACAATCGCTCTCTTGTCATTACCACTTGCGCAGTGGGCTTCAAACTCGCCTGATCTAGGGAGACCAAGAGCGTCTGGATGAATCGGCTCCATCCCGCGATGTGAAGAAGCGTGCGAAAGAAGCACAACAGGCTTGACGCATAATCACAAGGTACGCCAATGTTATGGCTACATAACGACCATATCAGTAATCAAAAGGCGACCAAGGTTAAAGACCTCAATCGCCAAAGTCAAAGGTCCGTCCTGCGAGAAACCGCCCAACACCTTGATTCATGGTTGGGAAGTTCGCAAACCTACAGCCAACATCGCTGACTCCAGCACCTATGCATCTGGGAAGGTTGCTCTCCTAGCTATCAACCAGTCGCTACGTCCTTCCATGCTCCGGACCTTAATCTTATCTCGCCATCCCGCATGTCTTTGATCTCCTGGGTCAGAAGAACGGAGTGGGCCTGCCATCATTGCATACCTGAGCTCCACCAACTTGTGTAACGGTTTCACAAACTGACAATACATACAGACACTCGCGAAACAGTGGTCTAACAACAAACAAACTTTCCAATGTTGGAACGAAAGGTTAGAGAGTTTTTCATGGGTCCTGAAATTGCCCGGTTCGTCTGCATTCTTTTCTGGCTTTGACATGGGCCATACAATGGCCATGGGAGCACAAGTTTGCTTCGAGGGGGTTCTGATTACATGCTTTTCCTGCCACCTCACAGCTCTACGCGTGCAGGCGACAACAACATGGCACTTCCTATTCACATTGACTTTCTTAAGTAGGTGGCGACTGAAAAAAGTTCCGGCAAGAACAGAAGTTGACCCAGATTTTCTGCTTGATTTCGATTGAGTGTCTCACATCAGTGTGAACTTCAACTACGCTAGTTTGACACCCCAGAGGGCGTCAAGGCTTGGAGGTAGTTCACAGAACATCCAACGCCAGGGGTAACCGTGTAATATCAGATCACGGAGCGTCCAAGATTCCGATGAGCACTTTCATCATGATTCAAACTGGGGAAATGCCACCTCTCGAAGGTTACACAAGTCCCCACAGCTTTGACGCATTCTCGACGCGGTATCTTGCTCGCAGCTAGCAAACGGAATTATGACCTGTTACTGGCCAACACAAAAGCAATATGTATCTTTCCGACCGTAATGGCCATACGAGGAAGGCCCTTTACCACCACCGCCATCGGTCTAGCCAAATCGCGACTTTGGGGTACAGATGGGTACGACAATTGCTTTGACATTTCATCCATAGGTACGTACCCTTTCACTGAATCCCGCACAACGCAAGGATTCTCTGTCGCCATCCCTCCCGGCAAGAGAAAAACAGAATCATCGTCCGAACAAAATGTGTTGCCATGAATGACCAGAAGCCTCATTCCTCATGGATTGGAGAGTCGACTTTGTCGTCGGATTAATCCAGTGTCTACAATCGTGCCTTCAGGATCCCAGGCGTGTGCTGGCTAGCATCGGACGATCACCGTTTAACACAGCGAAATCGTAGATTGAAAGCCAGGTGAGGGAAGAAAGTATCAATGCATGGGAACTAACTGTGTACATCGGTTACTGTACCATGCCACTCGTAGACGCCACATTTTACAAGTAAGCAAACATACAGAAGCTCTTATTCCATTATGACGATGTTACTGATGGCGGTGCTATAGACTACCACATAAGTTATACTCACTCGCTACTGATATCAAGCCCTCGTCGCTTCAGATAAGCCTTCGCTCCTTAGCCATCAAGATGCCCTGCCCACACAGCTCGATTTTAGCCTTCACATTCGATGATCAAGAGGGACATGGGAGCTGTTCAATCCTCTTGTCTGTCTGCAGGTCAGCACCGTAAAAGACAAACAGACTGAGTTCAACCAACTCATCTGACGCCAAGAACCAAACAGAAGTCAAGGAGACTCGAACAAAGCCTGCAGACCGGTCAGGGTTGTACACGCTGTTTGTACGGCAATACTTGACCGATGTGATTTCATCTTGCTGGCAAAATCAATCCTATCACGCAATGATTCTGAGATTCGATCGAGCGGGCTGATTTCGACTCCGATGACGGTATTGAAGGAAAGGCATGGCACAACATCGGAATGAGCTTTTGGCGAAGTGACGAATTGACGTCCACTATCTTGCCCCGGTATTAATGCCGTTGCCCTCAACGCAAATGTCCTTCATTTGGCGCTTCAGTCTTGCATGGCGTTGACAAGTTCAAAGCAGAAGCACATACCCTGATGTAACGAAGTGGTGTCACACGGATGTGATGCGAGTAGAGGCGAAGAAAAACAGAGAGACGGTGAACAATACAGGCTTTGCGAGGATGCCGGAAACATGAACGCCGGAGATACTAGAGGCACGGAGCGCCCTGGCATGACACGAGGCGCTCTAGGTGAGAGCAGGATACCCTGCCTAGGGAAGCATCAAGCTACGAGGATACAACAAACCTGTATCCTTGAAGGTCTCTATTAGCAGAGGAACCGGTACCTTTTCTATTACCTGTAGAGCACAGCGCTGCTCGAAGCACTACCAAGACGGCGATGTAGGATTCACCCACAAATTTCCAGCTTCCTGGGTCACACATGTGGTATCTAACGCTGAGCCTGCAGGTGAAGCGTGGGGTGATGTAAAGAAGAGAATGAAGTGATGAGAATCTGTCCCTGATACTTTTACACTGCGGAACCCACAGGTAGGTGGCCTTCTTTCAATGCTTCATTATCTGGTCTTCTCATCTTGAAGCTGTATGTGACGGCTAACTACTTACTGTCGCGTACCCACACCAAAACGCAGTAGATAGAGGGGATGACAACTACTGCGGAGGTCAACAGTCTACAGCCTGGTAGAGGGACTCGAATGAGATAGTACTCTGCTACAGAGGAATCCTCCTTATCGGCAAGGTTCCCAGCATAACCCCGGCTAATGGACAATCTGCATATTAGGCCGGGCCTGGGGCTCATGGACAAGATTCCCTTGAAAGCGAGGTGTATCGACTCGACATGTACCTTGACCAAGTGTGGTTGGGGCTTTCTGTGATAGGCCTTGGGTTTGATCATGATCTTTCTCATCTTCTTCGTCTTTCTGTACATGATGACTGACCGCGTGACCATAGGTACGAAGAATACATGCATGCTAGATTACCGGTAAAGCTTGGATCCGAATCAGGCGCCATGTCTGCATTGCTCATCACCCACCAGCCCCAAGCCTGTTGATTGATGCTCATTGATAGCCGTTGGCCGTACAGGGCATCATCTCAGCAATGACGAGACTTCATAATCTCAACATGCTGAAGAGTCTTGGTTCCTTCGAGATCTCTGTTGTTTCCGATATATAAGCCGGAAATGTCCCCCATCAGAGGGGCAAGTCAGAAGCTGGCCACCAGCAGAAGAAGTTTCATCACAATCCTCCATTTATTTAAGAATACGCTTAAAACCCACCGCTCATGATCTCGCTATCAAATGCACCTACCAGCGTATATCACAACGGATAGACAGCGTCCGAGGAATTTGAGCATTTCTCCTGCCATCCGCAGCACTGGGGTTGTCCTAGCAACTACCACACTGATCAGCCATTTGGTTTCGACCACCGTCACCTAATCCACAAAGCCATCCAC